AGTATAAGTGGGTTTTAGAAGGTTAACAGGTTGAGTAGAAAATGTAGATTTCATTTTAAATTATGATCCGCGACAATTAATTATTTAAAAGTGCATTATATGATTATTATTTTTTTTTACGTATGACAAAAAAATCTGCAATATTGCAAATTTATACGTATGGGACTAGAACGATCAGCCACCCAAGTGTCTCAGGTAATACGTGACCCGCCGGGTGACCCATCGGTTGATCAGTCGGGTGACCCACCGGGTTTCCACAATACAACCCGGGTCACCCGCGGGTGGATGGGTGACCCGGGTGGTCACCCACCCGGGTCCAATCACTAGTACCATACTATTTTGTAACAATATATTTTGTAATTCCTAACCATAATATATTATATGATAGTGTATGGTACTGGTTTTTTAAATTCGTATAGTACTTAGAGACTGGACTCGAGTCTTAAAAAACATAGCCTTGACTCGAGTTAATTCGAGTTAATACTATGCTTTTTAAGCTAAAATTGACTCGAATCCAGTCTCTAATCGTACTCATAGTGATCCAGTCACCATGCCATAGTAATCATACAAGCTTGATCATCATACCATATTTGACTTGTGTAATCAAAAGAAGGCAACTCTATAATCAATTTATTCATATTAAATCTAGAAAATTCGAGATATATGCGTACAAAAATTACATTACGTGTACTTGCATACGAAACTGCACCAATATAGCAATATAAATTGGTGAAACATATGACCCTGAGAACAAATAATATGGTCATAGGATTCATATCGACGAAGATAATTCCGATTATAGAAACAATCCTGAAAACAAATATGAGCGGATAATAGGGCAAAAAATAAAATTGTAATATTATGAAATGGAAACTTTGTTATTTAGATAAAAACTAGTAAAGAGAGTTCGGTTCAGTTCAAACCTAAAAAAAGATGATACAATAGCAATCATATTGTAATTTATAATTCGTCCTTAGTTTTAGCTGCCAACGCCTCCGCAGCTTCTTTCTTCTCTTTCAATTTTTGGAAGTGTGGACATTTGGTAGCGGCATCCTTATCGTCTTTCCCTTCACTACTTAAATAGGGGCAACCTTTTATATCATTGCTCAAATAAGGACATTTTGAATAATTACCGTCCTTGGAATATTTGTCACGTTTAGCATATGGACAATTTTCAGCATAGGGACAACCTTCCTCGATTGATGGCAAATTCCCATCATTAGCTTCAGCTCTTTTCTTAATATCTTCAAAATATGAACATTTTCCGGCAGCAGGGCATTTGGTATTGGACCAGTTAATATTTTCAAGTTTTCCTCCAGAATGAATAGCTTTATAGTAAGAACATTTGTCAGCTAATGGACAAGGTTTATTGCCATCAGCAGCGATAGGGCGTTGATCATGTCCGAAAGTAACAGAAGGTAAATAAAGGTAAAATATAAGAATAAAAGCAAGGAATATAAATAACTTTGAGCGATTTGTATAAAGCATTTTTGTTGAAATTTTTGCTGAAATTTTTGTTGAAAAGCTTTGAGAAATAAGTGAGAATTGATTCTTTATATAGGATTTTTTTAATAATCAACTGATTAACGTAATGCTTAAATATTTATGTTTTACGTACGCGTTATAAAACACAAATTGGGCACAACTAATGTTATCAAATTTTACATTATGATAAATGTTTAGCTGTTATAGACTAAGTTAATAAATATTCGGGCGATCACATTGAATGATATTACAGATAAACGCCTAAAGACAAATAATAAGTGCATTTCATAATGTATACTTAAAATATAATTTATATTGTGAAATACAACTGTATTGACGACTCCCTAAATCTTTTTGTGGGCAAACTTACTATAACATTTAAAAGAAAGTTCAATGCTAATTTTCCAAGAAAAACAGGTTATTTTAATGAGCCTTTTTCTAAACCAAGACAGTATTTATGGATTATAGAATTCGTCTGAAGGTTTCACCGAAAACGAACTAGTCATTCTCGAGTAGTCGTCGTTATCGTTCTATTGTTTGCTAACAATTATTATCCGGAGCAAAGCGGAGGGCAATCTCCATGACAAATAGAAACCAAGTGTAACCGATGATCCAACACTTTTTAGTAACTATATGGAAAAAAAATTGCATAATTATAAAATTCAATGGTTTGGATTAACTGTACTAAAACTAGTACAAAAAAAACTGAATTAGTACGTTTTAAAACATTTATTTAAAAATTTTTCAAAAAAACTATATATTTTAATATTTTTAA